GAACTTTCTTATGTTAAGAGCCCCTGGTGACTGATGGATGCTGAAGCCCCTTCATCTGCCAGAAAAGTTCACACCAGTTTTGAAAGGTACCATGGGGCAGGCCTATTTATAGCTGCTGGCTGGCCTGGCTGGTCACATGCCCTGGGAGTGCTGCTGCTGCGGGTGTGTGTGTGTGTGTGTGTAGGGAGCCTCTTTCAATCCTTCCAACCCCCTACTCCACCCCCCCCCCAGCCTTCTAGGATCCTCAGTAGAAGTTCCTGTGCCTCTTTCCACCTTGGTCACAATGTCCCACCTCCCATGACCACATCCCTCCCAGGCCACCTACCTTCCCATTTCTCCTGCTTCCCTCCTATCCACCTTTCCCTCTTACTGGAAACCAGCATGTCTACTCACTCCCACTCTATCCCTTCACCACCAGAACATGCAGGCTCTCATCAGTTTGCTTAGGCCTTGACTCAGATGCCTTAAGAGCTTTCCTCACCATTGCACTAATGCAAGGCCAGAGGCCAGTGTCTGAGTGGGCTGCCAGTACAGTTCTGCAGGTTGTCCATCACACAACTTCAGAAAGCATCACACCCACTCAACATGAGTCCAGTCACCATGGCCAGACAGCATACCACACAGGTGCCCAGCTAGGTCAGCTCTGCTGGAAGTGTCCTCAGTACCTTGGTGGGGTAGTATGTTTACCCTGTCTCAGTGTCTGAGAATGTTCAAGAACTCTCAGAGGCCCCTGTGAGGCTCATGTGTCACTTGACTCCACTTTATTCTCATGTGACAGGCATCCCCAACTTAATAAATGACTTTGTGTTCCCAAAGTTTTGTAAGACAGCCCCCTGGATTTGGGGACATTTTTGCAAAGAAACAATGTTTAAAAGGAAGTTGAATGTTCTCTGCTCCATTGATTGGACATGCTTTGCTCATGGTATAGATGTGAGGGGGTGCAAAAGCCTTTGTGGTTTGCTTGGAGAAATTCTTTCACCTGGAGTCCTGGAAACCTTGTGGCCCAGGTAAAGGCTTTCATGGGGCAACAGGAGATGGGCAGAGACAGCCTGGACCAGGCAGAGACTGTAGGAGCTACTGGGCCCTGAAGCCTGAGTCACCTCCCTGAGGCCTGGGGGGTTCAGGGCTTTGATCCCCCTACCAGTGCCTTGCTGGTGGCCTGGAACCTAATCTCTTGGCCTCTCAAGTCTTGCTACTTCTACTTGTACAAAAACCTAAAAAATAAAGGCCCTGTGACACCTGCCTGCCCTGTGTGCCTGCGTGGAAAGCACATGGGTGGCCCTCTGTGCTGCTGTGCTGGGGTTCATCTCACACTGCTCAGGGTGGCTGAGCATACCACACCCTCAAGGGGCTCAGTCTCTTGCCCCTCTCCTGCTTTGCCCACGGGATTAATCATTTAACTGAGAATTTCAGGAGTGTATAGAAAGAGCATGAGATTGGGGACTGAGTCTGGTTGCTGCCTCTATCCCTCCTCCATTCCTGCCCAAACACTAGCTGGGAGGTATGAAGACTGCTTGCTTGTTGCCTGGCTGAGGCAGACAAGACAGCACTCACAGGCTTTCGGGAACTGCCAGGTCCTCCAGGAACCAGGCTCTGCCACAGGTGCAGTGGGGAACGGTCGGCTGGAGGGAGCGTCCCTCAGACTTAAAAGATGTCCAGATAAAGGACAAACTATAGTGTTGAGGGTGTGCCTGTGGGTTAGGGTTCCTGTAGGTCAGGATAGTGGCTCCTGCTAGAGTAGGGAGGCTTCAGAGTAAAATGTAGTTGCAAATGTTTTGCACTTTTATCTGTATCTTATTTAGCAATAAAAGGTCTGTAAATTGGCTTGGTGCCCGTAGCTCAGTGGTTATGGCGCCAGCCACATACATGGAGGCTGGCGGGTTCAAACCTGGCCCAGCCCAGCTAAACAACAATGACAACTGCAACAAAAAATAGCTGGGTGTTGTGGTGGGCGCCTGTAGTCCCAGCTACTTGGGAGGCTGAGGCAAGAGACTTGTGTAAGCCCAAAAGTTGGAGGCTGTGTGAGGTGTGACTTCACAGCACTCTACCAAGGATGACAAAGTGAGACTATGTCTCAAAAAAAAAAAAAAAAAAAAGAGAAGAAAAAAAAAAGGTCTGTAAATATTTCCCCTTGCTTCCTTCTTTCTTCACTCCCTTTACACATGGCCCCTGTGGGACACAGCCAGGCGGAGCACTACACACCTGAGACACAGGTGAGCTTTAGGGAGGGCATGGGGAAGGCTGTTCACACAGGGCGGGATCCATGTGGAAGGCTGTGAGGACACTGCAGCAGCAAAAGAAAAATGGCGAATCTTCTCTCAATGAAACTGCTGCCACAGCAGAGGCAACCTGTGGAGCAGGGGCCAGGCCTGTGCTGCTGGCAGGATGGCTCGGGATCAGACTGCTTGTAGGACTTGCCACTGCCATATGGTACAGCTTCAAGGAAATGACAACGTCCACAACTCTGAAATCCCTGTGCACCAGAACGGCGTGGCATTGCTGCATGAACAGAAACAAAAGGATCTGAACTGTGACCAACCCAAGAAAGAGAGGGCCTGGCTTGGACGGGCCCGCCTTACACAGGGAGGTAACGCCAACGGCTTAGCAGCAGTGTTAGGCTAAAGTGTACTTTTCCCAGTAGCTGGCCAGAGGTTCAAAGCACCCAGCTCTGACTGCAGAGCTGCTCCCTGCCAGCAGCATAAGCTTCCACGCTGAGGCTGCGTCTACCTGGCCTGGTAAATCAAAGTCGGTGGACAGGCTTCTCCCCTCCAGGGAGAGGCACCCCCTACACACAGCAGTGTGCGTGTGGCTCTGAGCTTGCCCTCCAGCTTCCTCATGCAGGTCCTGGGACTTCACTGCCTTCAACTGTTGTCCTGGCAGCACAAGTCAGATGCCCCTAAGACCCAGCAGGGAACTCCTGGTTCAGAAATCCAGTCAGGCCTGGGAGTATCTGACCTGCCCTTGGAGATCAAAATTGCTTGACCTACACTTTTTGAGAGTGCCTAGGAGACTGACAGTGTTTTCATAGGTCAAGCAACACGATGCCTGGTGTGCCCTCCCTCCTGACATGTCTACACCCAAGGTCCTGCCTTGTGTTAGGTCCAAGTCCACACTCCCACTGCTGCCTCAGCTGAGTCTCCCTATGCACATTAACCCCCTGTCCTCTCCTACTCTGTCTTCTCTGGGGCACTTGGGCTGCAGACTACCAAGAAAGGGCACAAAACCCCTATATTCATTTGCGCCACCAAATGGTGAGAGGTAGCCCTAGTAAGGCCATCACAGACTCAGAAATGTGCCATGTCTCCCACAACTGTTTCTGACCACATGACTCAAGACAGCGCCCTGATGTAGTATGTCTGAAAAGGAAGCTGTGTTTCACAACTGGTTAACACTAAACCAAGTGTTATGGGCTTTTCAAGTGTTCACAACACTAATGGAATTTTCTTTAAAGGGGCCTTCGAAGCTAACATAAGGCCAAACGACATACTTAACGTGACAGCTTCAAGCTTGCTGAGTAATAACATAGCCCATTGCACCAGCTGACTACTGTGACTAAACCTGGCATTCACTCTCACAAGATTTCTTAACTTAGATTGGGGGCGTGGGGAATAAAACAATCAGTTAATATACTTTAGTACTCGTGCCTTAATTTAATGACAAGAGTCCAAAAACAGGCTGTCACCCAAAGCAAACATCCATAACTGACCGTAACAAGTCCAGGGGTTCAGCTTTGATTAAACAAAATCACCACCTCTTTCTGCTGTGGCCTACCTAGGTATGACCAAAAGTACACAAAGTTAGGAGGGAACACTAACCTTTATTTACACTTGGGTTCCAGTTCAGAGCCATCTTAGACAGTGTAGCCAAGTGGGAAAAAGCCCAGATCCTGGGACCAAGGTTCAGATTCCATCACAAGAATATGAACTGTGCAACACGCAAGCATCAGCCATGGTTTCTTCAGGAAAGTGGGGACAGCATCACCCCAGCTTCTAACAGTGGCTCTACCTGCCTCTGCCCCCATGCCCTTCTGACCCTCTTCCCCTTAGGGAAGAGGCACCAGGTGGGGTCCTGTGGGTGGCCATGCTTGGCTCCTGGTCTCAGCTCTCCTGTTTAGGGTGGGACTCTGGCGAGTTCCTGAACCTTTGAAGTATCTCCTAACCCCAAGCTTTCACCAAAAGCAATAAAGAACTCTAGAACTGCAGCAAAGACCAAGTGAGAAAGACACAGGTGTCCAATAAATATTAGTTACTTACAACTCTCCCCCAGGACAAAAGCAGAGGGCCTTTGTACATAGCTATTAAATTGAGTCTAGTTTTGAGGGAGAAAAGGATATGGTGGTGTCTTTTACCAAGACCCATTTTCACTTGGAGAGTTAAATAACATGATTTTTAAAACCATATACTTAATACCCTAAAAACTACTCAAAACACTAAATATACGTGTATGTGTACACACAGAAACCACGAGGTAGTTTAAAACACCGTTAAAAATAATACTTTCTCTGATTCTTTGTCATGGAGTGCTGACCTGTGGCTGCACAATGGCTGCTTAAAATTATTGGTTAAATGAAAACCAGAACTCAAAATATTCCAGGAGATTATATAACATCTACAAGTAAATGGCAAATATAATTATATTTTAATTTCGTGATCTCTGAAAACTAGGCTGTGACTGCTTTAAATTAACAGTTCCAGTTCTACGGACTTCCTCTAATAGTAAAGGACACAGTCTGCTGACATCTGTACAATTTACTAAGTAATCTCCATAGAGTCTATTTTACAAGTTACTTTGTGCTCATGTGGAGGAGTCAATATATACTCTCTATGTACACATTTTAAACATTATCTTGGACAGCATTTGGAATTTCTTAAGTAAGAAAATAGCCACCACTCTTCACCTTCTTGGAAAGTGTTAAACTGACCTCCTAATAGGAGGTGCCTGCTTGAGAAAGCCCTTTGACCCCACACCCCCCAGACCAAAAAGTGCAACAAATTCACACGACAGGGGAAAAGCAACATCTATTGTTCTTAGAGTCTGACTCTCTTCCCACAGCAAGAAAAGTCTCTTTGTAGGTAGCTACCCTGCTCAAGGATGCCAGGGAAACAGGGCTCTGCTCTTTCAAGCCAGAGCAGGAAAGTCTTCAGGGTCATCTGGGTTGGGAGCAACATCTTGTATCTGGAAAAGAAAAGAAACGTTTTGAAACCCACAGCTAATTCTCCATTCCTAGTGTGTGCAGCACTGGACACCCCAGTGTGAAATAATGGGGGGCCTGGCACCCACACTGCAAGAGAGGAGGGCCCATAGTGGACAGGAGCATTGCAGGGTTACCACAAACCCAGGAAAAGGCAGCACTCCCCTCTTATACGCCCCCGGCCACTGTCTTTCTCCTTCCTCAAAATCCTCATTTATATCTGCCATTTCCTTCATCCAATAAAGAACATTTACTACGTGCTGCACACTGGAGATACCAGGATGAGTACAACAATTCTTGTCTTCTGGGAGCTCACACAGCTAGGGAGGGAAACGCTGAGAAAGTTAAGTTGGGAACTTTAGTAACAGATGTTCTGGGAATTAGGGGCACACAGAAAGCATATCCAGTGCAATTTTGTGGCAAAGTAGACATCAAGGTCAAGTGAGGTTTTCTAGAATAAGCCTCAGAGGATGAGCAAAGAGAACACAGACCAGGAAACTCTGTGACCTGACTGTGAGGGGGTGGCCTGAGGCAGGTCTATACTGGAGGAGCACAGATGGGTGGCAGAGGCACAGAGCATGTGCAGAGAAGAGGTGGTGCCAGATCCCAGGACAGTCCCAACACAGTCCACACGAGTAGTTCAGGTGGCCAGAGCTCTGCTGTTGGAAAGGAGTGTATGTTTTCTACTCCCAAAATAGATCCCTTTTTGAATCTGGCCTCAAACATACTTAGAAAAAATAATTTTGTTAGTATTGGTCTTAGGTAAAAACAAACTATAGCCACCTCTTCAGGAGCTATTGCCTAGAGTGAGGGATCAGGCAGTAAAAGGAACACTGCCAAGACGAGCCACCAAGAAGGGAGTCTGTGCCTGCTCCACTGTCAAAAGGACCATATGGATGGGCCAGGCACCGCCTGTCATCCTAGCACTCTGGGAGGCTGAGATGTGTGGATTACTTAAGCTCAGGAGTTCAAGACCAGCTTGAGCAAGAGTGACACCCCATTTCTACTAAAAGCAAAAACTAGCTAGGCATAGTGGCATATGCCTGTACTCCTACCTACTTGGGAGGCTGAGTCCAAGAGGATCTCTTTTGTGCCCAAGAGTTTGAGGTAGCTGTGAGTTGTTATGCCACAGCATTCTACCCAGGGCAACAGAGTGAGACTGTCTCAAAAACCAACCAACCAACAAAACAGACTATGTCTGAATCCCAGTAAGTAGGTGCTCATATGCCCATTCATGCAATATACCTACTACATGCTAAGCACTGTGCTTGGCACTGGGGAAACCAATGATGAGCAAAAGCAGACATGATTTCTGTCCACTGGAAAGTTAGCAGATCAATCAATCACACCAGTGAAGAGTACAACTACAAATGGAGATAAGGCTTCAAAGAAAAGAAATAAAATCCTTTAATCAAAGACCCTGACTGGTCCAGGAGATGTGATCAAAGAAACATTCTCTGAGGAAGTGAGGCTGGAAGGATCTACTCTAGGTAAGAGGCCATGAGGTGGTAAGAGGACCAGCAGGTGCAAGGCCCATGGGGTGAGAAGTGTGCAGCGTGAGGAGCTGGAAGCAGAGCAGCCTTGGCTGAGGAGGGGCAAGGACGGTAAGCGAGAGTCAGCCAGGGAGGGAATGAGGGGGCTGATGACAAAGGGTCTTGAAGAGTTAAGGATTCCATCTACCCTGAAAGCACAGTCTGTCAGGTGGTCTGTTCCACCCAGAGCCTGAAGACCTTGTCTGATGCAGATTAAGAGTGAATTTTCTCTGGTCCTGGAAGTGTGTTCCCAGCACACAGTGATTTGTTTCCCTGCAGACCTGGGAAACCAGGGCTACAGAATGGTCTGCCTCTGACTAATGTCTGTGCAGCTCCACTACCACTCCAAATGCTCCAGCATCTGATCCACACTGGCTAGGGGAGGAAGCAACTGCAGAAAGTGATGACCCTCCAAAATCAGACCACCATGGGCCTCCTCATCCTCATCCTCACTTCCTTCAGCAAACCATCCAGATTTATAATACCTACCACTGCTTCCACTCTGGGTCCATAGTTCTCTGCCCTCCTGATTCTTCCCCGGCCTCCCCGAGTGCCACCTCTGGTTCCCCGTCCAGGTCGAGGGAGGTTACCAAAATTAATCTCCAGCTGGGATGTGATGTCATTGGTGGCTTTCCGGAAGACATGGGAATCATCTTCATAGTCATCCTTTACCATCTGAAACACAGTGACAGCATCAGACATGCATACATGTATAGCCATCTCCATGAACACTCGCTCAGCTTAGCATCTGAGGGATAAGTCACTCTGATATGTGCACAAGGGTGACCACCATTAGGGGTTGGAAAGTCATTCCCCAAAGGAGATAGCACTGCCATTCACAAGCAAGTTCTGCACATTTCACAGTCACATGTTCTTGTTATTACAATCTTAATCCAAGCATCTCTGAATTTACTGATTTCAAGTGAGACCAAATTTCCATCAGAAGAGCAGGTTAAAATAGATGTAAACTTTGACATGACTAATAGCAATCAACATAAAATCTTTTATATCTACTTCAAAGATTAAAGTTTTTTTTTTTTTTTGAGATGGAGTCTCACTCTGTCTCCCTGGGTAGAATGCCCTGGTGTCATAGCTTAACTCCTGGGTTTAAGCGATCCTCTTGCCTCAGCCTTCCAAGTGGCTGGAACTATAGGCATCTGTCACAATGCCTGGCTAGTTTTTCTATTTTTAGTAGAGACAGGGTCTCACTCTTGCTCAGGCTGATCTTGAACTCCTGAGCTCAGGTGATCCACTGCACCCAGCCTGAGATTAAAATGTTTTAATTTATGCTTCTTTCCTTTTCTCTTTTCTTAAGAGACAGGGTCTCACTCTGTCATGCAGGCTGCAGGGCAATGGCATGATTTCAGCTTACTGTAACCCTGAACTTCTGGGCTCAGGTGAGTCTCCTGCCTTAGCCTTGGAGCAGCTGAGACAACAGGCATGTGCCATCACTCCTGACTAATTTTTAAACTTTTTGTAGAGATGGGGTCTGGCTATATTATCCAGGCTAGTCGTCAAACTCCTGACCTCAAGCGACCCTCCTGCTTTGGCTTCCCAAAGTGCTGGGATTACAGGTGTAAGCTATTGCGCTCAGCCAACTTCTGCTTATTTTCTGTCCTGTTTGTTCACAAATTCTACTTTACAAACAAGGAACTATTTCCTTTCTAGAACAGATCTTCATAAATTCCTTTCAATGTAGGTGCTGACTGTACAAATACCATGATTTATAATAAAGCAATGATTTATAATAAGCAATTCTAACTCAAATTAAAACAATGATTTAAAAAACTGCAGGATTTATAATAAGCAATTCTAACTCAAAATATATAAACATTTTATAAAACAACAAAGTATGGTTATCTGAGTGTCACAACCAGTGCTACACAGAGTCAATCTGCTCTTTAAGAACTGCTTTAGGTAAAAAAGTCTTTGAGAAACTATTTTATTTTAAGAGGTCAAATAAGTTCTATCTCTTATTAAAAGAAATCTATATTAAATAATTAATCTCATACAAATTTGATTTGGCTTCGATTTATAAAGATAAAACAACAAAACATTTCACTTTAAGTAAAATATAAACCTATACCAAACATGCCAATTGTCTTGGATGAGACTCTCCAAAGTAGTATTTTTTCCCCCCAAATCAATATGTTAAACATTCCTACAACTTGTCTGGGAAATGGGATAAAATTTCTATGAGTACATTGATCCCTTTGGGACATATGTTAATGTTTGTGTCCCCTTTGAAGTTTCATATTAAAATAAAGCAGAGGCTTTAGCCAGATGGACTCCTGAAGTTAAAAAAGGTGAAGGAAAGCAATCCAGGAGCACTGGCACTCTGGTAAAAAGATAAACACACAAAAAATAGTAACAGGGAAAATATTAATAACAAACTACTGCCTTATTGAGAAAACTAGCTCTCAGCGTGCACCAGCCGGGAAACAGTAGGTAAAGTCAGTGGCTGAGCTGTGCTGGGCGCCATCAAAAGATGGGACAGAGTGCAGTGGAATGAGGAGCAAACGCACAAAGGCCTGGGTCCATTCCCAGTTCAGTGTGGCCCTGGCCAAACTGCTCTCACTGCTCAGCTCAATTCACAGATTTGTTGTTAGGTCTGAACTTTCCAGGCCAACAAGAAGTACTTTTCTTGCTTTTGTCTCTTAGGGTATCCAGAACAAAGTCAACTAATGACTGTAAGATTTAGTTAATGTTGCTTTAAGAACAATTCCTGGCTAAAATCTTCAATGCTGTAAGATTAACAAGGACCAAAGATTTGTGCTTAGACCAAGCTCGATGACTCAGCTAACCCAGTTGCTTCAAATATTCTAGGAGACCTCTGGAGCCAGGGAGGATGAATCTGATGTGGATTAAGGAAGAGCAGCTTCTATTTTTACCTAACATGTCAGCTGCACACTGCATATTCTGACAGCACATTTGTATTGGAGAAAGCTTTATTTACAAAGCCCAGAGCAAAAGAGAAAAAGGATCCAGCTAGCATTGGACTTGTAAAGCAAACCTCACAGAGATTTCCAACAGAATAAGGCTCTTGCCTCCTATTTCTATAAAAAGTCATTTTTTTTTTTTTTTTTTTTTTTGGAGACAGAATCTCACTCAGTTGCCCTGGGGTTGAGTGCTATGGTGTCATAGCTCACATTGACCTCAAACTCTTGGGCTCAAGCGATCCTCTTCTGTCAGTCTCCTGAGTAGCTGGGACTATAGGGACTTGCCTATAGTCTGGCTAGTTTTTCTATATTTAGTAGAGATGGAGTCTCGCTCTTGTTCAGGCTGGTCTTGAACTCCTCAGCTCAAGCAATCTACCTGCCTCGGCCTCCAGAGTGTTAGGATCATAAGTGTGAGTCACTGTGCCTGGCTCAAAAAGTCATTTCTAGTGGGACAGCTCAAAACTTATTAGTAAGGCCTCCAAGATCTTGGACTGACCACAAAAAGAAGGTGGGAGGGGATCTTGTATCATAAATGCTCTCTAATCAAAGTATTCACTCAGAGAATACTAGTAACCAAAGTGTAAATAGGAACTTAAACAAATGTACACAGTATAAAATTCCTGAGCTTCAAACTGAAAATCAATGAATAACATCCAGCAGAGAGAAGAGTGTGTTCATCCCCACCTCTAAACAGGGACTAGACCCCAGCTGTGATTGAATGATGCAAATTCTAAATTCCATAATTAGCATGCATCAGTATACTCTTTAAGTTCAGTAATGTAAACAAAATGTGATTAAATGACCACTATCGATTCTTGCTCATAGGTATTTTCATTAAAAAGCTAAATGCAAACTATGAAAAATAAGGCCCTAACAACCCAAAGACCCCTGAGGAATCCTCACAGTATGGCTGGCTATTGTAGTATGACCATGCTGCCAGGGAATGCACAGGCTTATCTTCTTCCAGTAACAGGTAAAGGTGTCATAGAGCACAGAACCCCAACTATAGTTTAAAATGATTATCTACTCCCAATGGAGTAGATACCTTACCTTCAGCTCTTAATAATCAGAGCTGAAGGTAATCTAATCAGGAAAATACAGAGTAGCTACCCTCTGAAATGGCATCATTCTGTACCTCTTCCTTGCTTATGAGACAAAAATGAAACACAATTAACAGGCAATATTTGCACAGTCTCAGCACAGTCCTGGGGTCAGCAGAAAATGCACTATCACTCAAACTGCTTTGTACTGAGGTGTCAATATATCAAGTTTCAATTCCTCTTCTTAGTGAAAAATTAAAATAGAGTAAAATTAAGCATGTATCATCTATGATTAGAAACAAGAAGCCCAGCTATTAATGTTCTGTTTTCAAAACAGAAGTGGAAAGGCCCATTTCATTTCCAGTAAGGTAAAAGTAAAGATTGCCTCTAGGTACAAAATGTAATGCTTACATCATCTCTATATTTTGACTTGTGAATCACCACTGCTTTGGAAGGAACTGTAGATTCTGGTTTCCGGATGTTAAACTCAGGCTTTGGTCTGGTCTGTTCTTGAAGATTTTTCCACTCATCTAAGGTCATCTCTTGAACTTGAGTTTCTTCTTCTACCTCCAACTCAGGAACTCTATAAAGATGTATAAGCACAAAGAATAATTTCTGATGGGACTGAAATGTCTACTTCATTAAAGAAAAAGTTATAACCATTAGTTTAACACACTTTTATGGTACTAAATTACAAATGAAATAAGGTGAGAAAATCTTTACATCATAAGCTTCCATATTTTATTTCCATCATTTTATGGTATCACTGCCAACTGAAGATACTTCTTATTTGTTGTTCATAGACGTCTTTGAAAAATCACCATTCCCATGACATTAACATTACTCTTCACTCCCTTTTAGATGGCATTGTAGAAAAAATGAAGTAAACACTTGTGGAAGAAAAAAGGAGATGCTATTGAAATAAAATACAGGAAACCACAAGCAAAAGTTTTAAAACAGTGTGTCCCAAATTCAAAGTTTTGTAAAGGTCCTCTTTAAATCAGTGAGTTTAAAAAAGAAAACAGAAAATAGACACATAGATCAACAGAACAGAATTTGGAGTCCAGAAATAAATCCTCACATTTATGGTCAATTGACTTTTTCTTTTCTTTTCTTTTTTTTTTTTTTTGAGACAGAGCTTCAAGCTGTCCCCCTGGGTAGAGTGCTATGGCATCACAGCTCACAGCAACCTCCAACTCCTGGGCTCAAGCGAGTCTCCTGCCTCAGCCTCCCAAGTAGCTGGGACCACAAGCGCCCACCACAACGCCTGGCTATTTTTTGGTTGCAGTGTCATTGTTGTTTGGTGGGCTGGGCTGGATTCGAACCTGCTACTTTAGGTGTATGGGGCTGGCACCCTAACCACTTGAGCCACAGACGCCGAGCCAAGTGACTTTTTTTCAACCAGGGAACCAAAGATGATTCAATGAGGCTGGGCACAGTGGATCACATCTGTAATCCTACCACTCTGGGAGGCCGAGGTGGATAGATTACTGAGCTCATAGGTTTGAGACCGGACTGAGCCAGAGTGAGACCTCATCTCTAAAAACAGCTGGGTGCATTATGGCAGGGGCTTGTAGTCCCAGCTATTGGGAGGCTGAGGCAAGGGAATTGCTTTAGCACAAGAGTTTGAGGTTGCTATGAGCTGTGATGCCACCCCACTCTATAAGGGTGACAAAGTAAGACACTTTCTCCAAAAAAACAAAAAAAAAACAAAAAACAAACACACACAAAGATAATTCAATGGAGAATGAAAAGTCTTCTCAACAAATGATGCTGGGATAACTGGATATCCACATGCAAAAGAATGAAGTTGCACCTCTACCTCACATCATAAACGTAAGAGCTAAAAGTATAAAATTCCTAGCTGAAAATAGGCATAAACCATCATAACCTTGGATCAGGCAATGACAGCAAAAGCGCACACACACACAAAAGAAAAAGTAGATTAATTGGCCATCATCCAGAACTTCTGTGCAGCAAAGAACACCACCAAAAAGTGAAGAGATAATTTACAAAAACTGAGAAAAAATTTACAAAGGAACTTGTATCTAGAGTATATAAAGCACTAAGGACAAGTGACTCAACTAACAAACAGCAAGGATCTGAACAAACATCTTTCCCAAGAAGATACAACAATAGTTAATAAATGTGCAACATCATTAGCCATCAGAGGAAGACAAATCAAAACCACAGTGAGTTGGAATACTCCATAGCCACTAGGATGGCTGGAATCAAAAAGGCATAGAACAAAGGCTGGGAAGGACATGGAGAAATTGAAATACACATACACTGGTGGTGGGAATGTGAAATGGTGTGAACACTTTGAAAAGTCTGACAGTTCCTCAAAAATGTAAACACAGAGTTAGTTTCATTCCTGGGAATATATCTAAGAGAAATGAAAACATATGTCTACATATAGATCAATGTTCACTGCAATATTATTCATAATAGCCAAAAAGTGGAAAAAAACTAAATGTCCATCAACTAATGAATAGAAAAAACAAATATGATGTACTTTTTGGAATATGTGACAATAAAAATTATCAAATTTTTAAATTAAAACATGAACAAATCTTGAAAACATAATGCCAAGTGAAATAAGCTAGGCACAAAATTTATGCATGAGTCTGTTTATATGAAATATTCAGAAGAAACAAATTCACAGAGACAGAAGGAAGATCAGTAGGGTCAGAGGCTGGGGGGAGGCCGACAGGGGAGTGACTGTTAGTGGGTCTGAAGTTTCCTTCTGGAATGATGAGAATGTTCTGGAACTAGATAATGGTGATGGTTGTATAACATTGTGAACGTACTAAATGCCACTTAACTGTACACTTTAAAAGAATTACAATTGTAAATATTATGATGTATTTTATCACTACAAAAAAAGATACGCAAAAAAAGAAGTACCAACACTTGCTACGACACAGAGAAACCTGAAAACATTACACTAAGTGAAATAAACTAGCCACATAAGGATAAATATTAAGTGATTCTACGTATATGAAGTACCCAGAATAGGTTAAGTCATAAAAACAAACTAGGATAGGCACCTGTGGCTCAGTGGGTAGGGCACTGGTTGAGGCAAGAGAATCACCTAAGCCCAGGAGTTGGAGGTTGCTGTGAGCTGTGTGATGCCACAGTACTCTATGGAGGGCAGTAGAGTGCCGTAAAGTGAGACTCTGTCTCTACAAAAAAAACACCCCAAACAAACTAGAATAGAGGTTACCAGAGGCTGAGAGACGAGGGCAATGGGGAGTTAGTATTTACCGGTACAGAGTTTCTGATGAAAATTCCTGGAGATAGTTACTGGTGATGGCTACTCACAATGGGAAGGTAATTGATGCCGTTTTAAATGATAAAAACGGCAATTTGTATGTTATTTACATTTTTACCACAATTTCAAAAAATTGCTAATGTAACATCCCCCTAAACACTGAGTTGCATACTTTAAAAGTCTGAGCTGTATGAGAATTATAGCTCAATAGTTATTAAAAAAAAATAAAAAACAGGTGGGGAGTGGGAACAGGATCAAGTCTTCACCTTTACTGAAGGGCTGATGTAATTTAAGCTTCTAGAAACGTATAGCTTAATGTTGTAAAAAATATAAGCAAAATAAAGAGACACACCTAACCACAGAGCATCCAAAATAGACAGATTTGCAGTCACTTTACAAAAACCAAGCTGATGATAGAAAAAAACAAAACAAAACATCAAAGCAGTGGTTGCTTTTAAAGGAACTCATATTCCATGAGTATAAGCATTTGTCAAAACAGTGAATATACAATGAAGATTTGTACATTTGACAGCAAACACATTTTATATTAGAATAAAAAACTGTAAATAAATATTAGGTTCTATTTAATGATATCAATGTCGAACTGTTTGGCGGAAGTGACATGTACATATGTCTATAATTTACTATGAATTGTACCCAAAAAGATGACAAAGTGATAGTTATGTGATAAAGTACAGCAAGACACAAATGATAGAGTTTAGGTGTAAGAATTGTAAAATTCTCTAAACTTTTCTATTTGAAATTTTTCATAATAAAATGCTGGAAAAATACCAACATTTAAACACTGATCTCAAACATATATTGGCAAAAATATGAAAAGATAACTAAGAAAAGACTTTGTAATAGCAAAATACTGGAAATCCAAATCCATCTAGGGAGGAATTTGGTAGAAAAATTATAGTATAACGACACATGGATATTAAACAGCTGAAAAGGAATGAGGTGTATATATATACTGCTACGGATATAGCAGATAGAGAAAAAAGCCAAGTGGGAAATGGGAAGGCATACAAATACATATTCATATCGTGCATTAAAAAAAACTGGAATATAATCAAGAAAGAACAAGGATAGGAGCTACTTAAAAATACTATATTCTTCAGACTGAACTTTACAAACATGTAAATATTTTACATAATTATAAAACAGACTTATGTCAAAATTTAGTCTCTAAGATTTGAAAGTAAAATGCTCTTTTTTCCTAAATGTTTATGGAATTGGTGATAAAATCATCAAGAGAAGCTATTTCAAATGACTTTTAAAATACAATTTTGACTACCTGTCTCCTGCTAGCCTTTCAGTAACCACACTATTGAAGGTAACACTAGTGAGGTTGTCTGTGACTATTATACGTGTAGCAAGTGATAATAGTGCAATGCCACTGAGAACTATGACTTTCAGTATGCAAGAAAAGGAGAAACATAGGAACATCTAGGTACAGGTCATTATGAACGTTTTGAGATACACAAAAATCAAAAAATGTAAAATCCACGTGGATGGAAAGAAATGAAACCCCCTCTGCAACAACAATACACTGAGCACGTTGAAACTTGCACAAGTGAATGGAAAGAATGCTTTCGACTGTGTTTCTTGCAAGTGAAATAATGGACCATAACACAGTCTGTCTCAAAACTTTCACTGTGATCCACATGAAAGTCCTATAGCCTAAATTTGTATTGGAAATATTGACTGAACTCACATTTTTATACTATCTATGTTGTGTGTGTGTCCAGCTCTATCCACTAAAATGCTGGGAACAATCAAGAATCTAGCAGTAGTGGATCTTTATTAAACAAGACACACAGACTGCAAATACCACATGAAAAGATGCTCGACATCACTGGTCATTAGGAAATAAAAATTGAGGCCGGGTGGGGTGGCTCACACGTATAATAATCCTAGCACACCAGGAAGCCAAGGTAGGAGGACTGGGAAGATTGCTTGAACTCATAAGTTTAAGACTGGCCTGAAAAAGAGCAAGACTCCATGTCTACTAAAAATAGAAAAATTGGTAGGGTGTCATGGTGTGCACCTGTGGTCCCAGCTACTTGTCTTTCTTGAGGCAAAAGAACTGCTTGAGGCCAGGAGTAAAAGTACCTATTACTATGACTAAAGGTGATTTAAAGAAAAATGACCCTGCCAAGTATTGGCAAAGATGTAAAAGAACTAAACTCTCATTTACTTTGGTGGAAAAATAATAACAGTTTGACAAGTTTCTTAAAAAATTAAACATCTACACATACCATCTAGTCCAACCATTCTGCCCCTAGAGTGTATAGAGGGGAAAT